ATTGGATTGATTCCATATGGCTTTTGCATAATCACACAAGGCCAAAGCATGCATAGTGTCTTCATATAGCAAACCACACATGGCACATAATGGATCCAACTCTACTCTCTTTATAAGTAAGTTTCTAGTAGTGGGAAGAATATCACTAATAGCTTTCCATAGAAAAGTTTGGCGATTTTTAGTTTCCATAGGGCCAGCCATTTATCAAAAGCCCCAATTATTTTCCTCATAATTTCCAATAATTTCCAATAACCTGCCTATAGCCACTTTTTATGGTATAAATTCCTTTTGGGTCCCCATACTAATACCAAGTGTCTTCATAATCTGGGGATACATGTATTTTCATAATGCGAGCCACATCAGCCTGCTCAAATAAATCAGTTAAAATAGAATAATCTCACGAGCGTGTATCCTGGTCAATTAATCCCACAACTCTGGCATCGGTTATCCGATAGTACTAAATTTATAACACAACACATACACGTTGTACATTTACTTATTTTACATACCTACTAATTTGTTTTAGGTACAGAACTGATACTCTTAAGGTACAAAATTTTATAACACAAGACACAAAAGCGCGAAACATAAGACACATATACACCACAAATGTTATATATTCACCTATTTTCAAATCTGATTTAGGTGGAGAATTTATGTTTTATACACACATAATTTCACAACACAAGGCATAAATTCATAAATAAGACACACGGTATGTTGTGTTACATAACTACTAATTTGTTCATCGTATAGAATTCATACTCTTAAGATACAGAATTACGTAACATAAGACATAGAAACTGATAACGCATACACATGCTTTACGTTGTTTAGGACTAGGATCAACAGTGCATTGTGGACCCTAGTCCACAGTATAATGATTGGTTTTTCATATGGCCAATGTCTCGCGTTTATATTTATATATGTGTGTCTATATATATATATATATATATATATATATATATATATATATATATATATATATATTAGTTTTACATGTGCATTGCGTGAATGGGCTAATGCCCAATGTTTATATTGAAATAAATATTTCAAAGTATATCAATGAAAGATTATATAGGAGAAGTTTATACATAGGTAATTGAATGTCGAATTTGTTTATTTAAATATGTAATTCAGAGTATATGAATAATTTATTGATAATGAATAATTTTTTCTAAATAAAGACATTGTAGACACATAATTCTAAATTAAAGAAATGCATATATATTATTTTTGTTGTAGCCATGAATTTATTTATTTATAATTCAAGAAGAGTAATAGTATGAGAACTTAATTATGTCAATTTTGATTGGGTTGTGGTTCGAATCTAAGACACTCCTTATGAAAATCAATGAATTGAGTAAGGTAAGAATAATAAATAGTTAACATAATATTCCGTTACTAGAGTTTACACTGATGGAGTGCATGGGTATTTAGAAAAAGGAAATGATATTGATGGGGAATATACTCCGGGTTCAGGCTCCCCGTACGCTCCGTGCTCCTGCTTGGGTCGGGGTCAAATGGTTCGGATCCCGGTCCACAGTTCAAGGTCAACCCGTCAACCCTTTACCCTATAAATACGGCATTAGCCCTCCAAGTTGGGGGCTTCTTCCCTTTCTCTCTCTCTCTAATAGACCTATTCTCCCCCTTCTCTCTAAAGCATAAGAAATGAATAAAAGAGATTTACTTTGTTCTACTACTATATTGTTCATACACATACATACATAACTACATAAGGTACATACATTCCATGTACAGCCCGAAATGAATTAGTACTATCAGATATAATAGAGGGTAAAATAAGAAAAAAAAATACTAAAATCAAAATAATCTGAACCATTCATTTCATCAAATAATTTGACGGCAATTTTTTTTAGTTCCCGCTATAGGCCTAATTAACTTTATTGGCTCTTAGAAGTATAGTAGATATTCACACACGATTGTTTTTTTCATATGGGCCTAACTTTCTTGCACGTGTATATGTGTGTGTGGGCAAATTATGGTCCACACAATATTATGTAAACCACAGTGTTGCAAAAATCGCGCCTAGGCGCCGATCTAGGCGCTAGGCGGTCGGCCACCTAGACGCCCTAGGCGCCCGCCTAGGCGCTCTAGGCGCCGATTAATCGCTCTAGGCGCCTAGGCGGTCCCCAGGCGCCTAGCGATTTTTTCAACCTTGGTAAATCATAACAAAAAGTACATTTTTAATATACTAAATGTACATTATGTAATATAATGTACATCCCCTGAATATAATGTACATTATTTTTGTACTGAGTGTACATTATTTTTATATTGAATGTACATTATTTTACAGCATACAAAATATGGTCCACACAATAATGATTGGTGTGTGTGTGTGTGTGTGTGTGCAAGATCAAATGAAAACATGGTCATCCGATAAAAAATGAAGATTGATCTCAGCCGTCCATCAAATTCATCAATGGTTGACGACTTATATTTTTAGTAAAAAATTACGATATCAATTTTATAATTATTGAAAACTTTTAAGATCAGAGTTTATTTTATTATTAAAGTAATGGTAAGATCTTAATATTTAATTTCTTAAAACGGATATATATATATATATATATATATATATATATATATATATATATATATATATATATATTCCAGTGAGAACATGTGCATATGTGAGAACATGAGAACACATCATGTGCATCCATCTAATACTTTTTAATGGTATAAATTATATTAAGTGTGTGCGAATGCACATTAAATGTGCGCAAACACACTTAATCGCGTTTGCACACATTTAATGTGCGTTCGCACACACTTAATCTAATCTAGACCATTAAAAAATATTAGATGGATTTACACGATTTGTTCTCACGTTCTCACCTAAGCAGGTGTTCTCATATGATCTTTTATATATATATATATATATATATATATATATATATATATATATATATATATATATATTGACACGTAAATATAATAGTACCATAGCACATACTACTTTATTAGATAGTGTGTTTGTGTAATACATACCATTATAGATGCGTATACGTATATAACTTCCTAAAAAAAATACATCTTATCAACAATGCGTAAAACTTTTTCGTTCAAGTAAAAATTCATATCTTTTCTATAATGCATAAAATACGTTCATGAAAGAAAGAGACGTGTAACAAACACAATTATACATATATATACGGGTCGATGTAACACATTTATCTGTAAATATAAGCACAAATCTTTTGATGCAGATACATACAATGAATTGAATTAAATCCTTCATTATCAAGAAGATAATAGAAACATATAATAGTGACATATTTCCCACCGCTGCATAATCCATTTCCTAAATTAAGGATGGTGAAATGAAATCATGTTAAAAGTTGTTTTGTACCCTTTACCTAGAATGGAATGCAATTAACGATGGATAATGAAGCAATAAAATTTCGTGGCTCTTAAGATAATGATTCCTTAATGACAGTGAGGTTTGGTCCCAAAGTCAGCAAAGAGAGAAAAGAGAGCTGTGAGGTTAGCCTCTTGTTGTCAACATGTGAGATCTATAATATTTGGGTCTTGGAATATATATAGTTAGCCATGTCTTATCAACTCATCCAAGATAATGACATCCATACCCACTCACATTCTCTCTTTCTCTCTCATTGACTAGACTCAAAATTCTATGAGGTCTCTCCCTCCTAAGGTTAAAATTTAGGTTTTATAAGGCAACTACAATCGAGTTGATCGGACTGTTAGTTTAATAATAACAAAGATTTAATTTGATTTTCAGTGGAAGCAGTTTAATTTATTAGTCTTTTTTATTAGAGCTAATTAGCTATGTGCAATCTATGCTGGTTTACTTGCCATCCTTTGTCGATAATAAATTATTTGTTTGTGTGTGCGTGAGAGAGAGTATGTAAATCATTTTTATAGTGAGGATTTATAATTTAGATTCTTTGTTATTGGTGATAAGAACTTATCTTGCTTTTGGTCTTCTGGGTATAATGGCATTTTACTTGTGTGGTGATTGAATTTTATAATTTTACTTTTAGTGATCAATTTTTGTTCAAAAAAAGAAACATTTCACTCTAAATTCAAAATGTCCATAGTGCTCTTGCATATATAATACGGTGGAGTTCCATGAAATTTTTACAATGTGAAAGTGTTTTTAGATATTTTTAATTATAAGTAAAACATTTTTAAAGTTGAAGGACTAAAAGCGAAACTTTTTAATGTCAATTACTAAAAGTTTAAAAAAATAAAAATAGTGATTATAAGTCAAAGGACTAAAAGTGGAATAAATGCTTGATGAATATTATTGATATATTTAGACATTGTAATGAACTAATGATTGTATATTTATTGAAAAAATGACCATAATTGCATTGTACTTTTATTCATATATATGAGAAAAAAGTAGCCTAGAATTCTATTTTTTTAAATATAATTTTTGGAGAAGATCAAATCAATGAAAATAAGTTTAAATTTATAATTATTTCCTTCCATCGATCACCTTCTAAATTGACCCTTTACCTCCATATATGCCATGTATTAATGAATAATATAGTCTCCATCAATAACGATAAAAAACAACAAATAAATATATTTTTCTATTAATTATACACCATATTATATAGCTTAGAATTCTTGTTTGACGCCGTCATGCTGCCGTTATTTACAACAAATCTCTTGATTCTTGATTTTTATTTTATTTTATTTTGTCTTTTCACAACCATTATGTTTCGATCATTAGTTTAACTGTTTAAGATTTTTGTTTTTATTATTTTTTTCATGTTTGGACTATCAGTTATGTAAATGAGTTATAGGCGACGTTTGATAAAATATTTAGTTTATTTGTCAATTTTAGTTAATTTGATCACTATTAGCTGTTTGACTTGGTTAAAAAAATATTAATATAAGTGTTTGGTTAATCAGCATTTTGTAATTTGAAAAAGCTAAAATTCAAAAAGCTGCTCTAAGTAATTTTTAAAAAAGAAATTATACCAAATTATAAACAGCTATCAGGTAACAGATAATTTACCAAACGCTTTTCTACAATCAGTTAATGTTATCAACTAATCATTCCCTCTAACCTGGGTACCCGGGTTGGACTTCCATTTGGAAGATTATGAGTTCGAGCCTCAGTGGAGGCGTTATTGGTTCTTTGTGTTTCAGTAGGTTGAGAAAGTATATGAACAGATACTACAATGTAATAGAGCCAGTAACTTTAAAAAAAAAAAAAAAAATCATACCCTCTAACCCAATCAGCTAACAGCTAACCCATTTACCAAATAGGATCGTAATCTTTCGAATTTGTGTTTATATATGATGGCAAATCTAACCAAGTTAGTAAGACGATTAACTTGGTAATTATAAAGTTTAAAATTTGACTCTCAACGGGAATAATTTATAAGCCTTCTTGGTTTAAGCCAGTCATCGTGACTCAAGAATATGAGTTTACACATCATCAATAATTTGTGTACGTGGTTAATGAATCATTGATATCAAAAAAGATTTACAGGACCGTATTAATGACATAGTATCATGCCGTATTCCAAAACAATTAACTCCCTTTTAGAATCGTTGAGTCTGAGTGCTTTGTTTTTTTGTTTTTGTTTTTGTTTTGTTTTTTTCATCAGGCTGAGATCTCCTTCCCTATTGAGGATTCGAATCGGGATAATTGCTGGGCGCTACACCTACATTAACACTTTTGACCACTGAGTTATGTGTGAGGTTTTTTTTTTTTTAAAAATAAAGTGAAAGGTGTGATTATGGTAAAAAGAAAATTACTTTTGAAGAATTACCATGTAATAATACAGTGTAAAAATTCTATTTATATATATATATATATATATATATATATATATATATATATATATATATATATATATATATATATATTAAAAATCATGCATTATATTTCAAGGGTTATATTTATGCATAAAAAAATTTTTACAAGTTAACAACAAGATTGATGTATTATATATACCATTTTGGGTAATTCAATTTGTACATTTTATTAAGGGAAATAATCCTCACAAGAATATAGCATATATGTTGTGACTGATAATTAAAAGGTACACTTTTTTCTTCGTATTATATTAAGATAAACAACAATAATTTTTACATATTAAGACTTTTTTGCTCATATTAAAAATTCAAGTACCATCCAGTATACAAAGTTTGATCTTCTAGTTCAGAGATATATTATATTTATTTTATTCAGCAGAAGAAATTAAAATATATAAATACCTATACATATTACATATTTCTATATATATAATTTTCTACACATCAAGATTACAAGATTTCTTTGCATCTCTATTATATATATATATATGATATGATTATACGAAACAAGCCAAAATTAAGAGTATATATAAAATGATGGGGCTAAAAACAGATTAATAATATTTATAGGGGCCTCACCTAAAATCGGCTACGTTCAAGACTTTCACCCTCCAAGTATTCTTCAATGGGATCTCCCTAGCTTTATGTACGTACTCATTATGCTTAGATTAATCCTGGCCGTTCATAATCTCTGTGCTGCAAGATTGTGATAGAGAGGAGAATTGAAGAATATGGGATATGTATGTATATATAGGCGGCGTTGCATGTCATGTGTTTTGTTTTGTCGGTCCAATTTTAATTTCAAGAGTACCAATTCAGGCCGGAAACTGGGTATGGTTGCCGGAAAACGCCGTCGCCGGAGACGTTCTGTTGGGGGAGTTGGCTGAGGAGGGTGGCAATGGAGCCGCCGCCGCCGCTTTGGTCGTCGGTCCGGGCGGCCGTTAAGTGGCTGTCGTCGGCGAGGAATTTTTTAGTGAGCGGCGATGAGTCGCTGCAGGTAGGGGCGTCCTCGTTCCAGTACATGGCGGGGAGGTGGTGGGGGTGCTTTGAAGGGAGGAGATTGGCGGCGGCGGCGGCGGAGACAATCGGCGACCCATTGCTTGTAATCATCCCTTCGTATATATTCTGATCGTTTTCTAGCAGACCACCATAGTTTGCGGCGGATTTGAATAGTCCTTGATGAAATTTTTGATGGGTAAATTGGATTGTTGTTGGAATCGACGGCGGAATTGATCCCAACATCTCATTCAAATCGTCCCTTTCGTGATCTATTGGCCTCTGCGTGTTGTTTTTCTTGTAAATCCGACACAAAACCCAATCATCCAGCTAAAAAACAAAACAAGAAATCATCATTAAAGTGTATGTTCTCTCTCTCTCTCTATCTTTCTCTGATCTGGGTCTTTTCAAATGTAAGATGAAAAGAAACCTTAAAATCCACGATTGATAGATTATATTGTACGTACCCTGAGAGAGCCTTTCTTGTTGATGTCACAACCGGGAGGTTTGTTGTTGGGTTTATTATCAGCAAGCCTATACTCATGCATAATCCAATTAGTCTTCACCCCTTTGGGCGGCTTTCCGCCGTAAAACACCAGCGCTTTCTTCACGCCCACTTTCTGCGTCCCGCCGGCCGTCAACACCGGCTTGTCAGTTCCGGTGGCCTTCCAGTACCCGGACGTCGCCGCCCTGTTCGGCCGTGCTCCGTTAGGGTACTTCCTGTCCCGAGGACTAAAGAAATACCACTCTTGCTCTCCAAACGTCGCCTTAGCTAAAAATTTAAACCCATAAAATCATCAAGAAAAAGAAGAAATCGAAATTGAGATTAAGCTAATTAATTAAGGATATATATATATATATACCGGGTAGTTCCCAGGGATCAAACTTGTAAAGATCGACCTCGGCGATGATAGCCACCGGGAGGGGGGCGGAGGCGGCCTTCTTCTTAAGGTAGTGGACGACGAGCTCCTCGTCGGTGGGGTGGAAGCGGAACCCCGGCGGGAGGTGCGGCTGCTGCTGGGAGCCGCTCGACGAATCGGTGCTCTCCATTAAGCAATCAAGCGATCTGGAGAGAGATCACGACACCAAAATTAAAGGGACAGTAGAGTTTAATTAGCTAAATTGGAATAGATGCAGCGGCGTTTGGTGTTGTGGGATTTGGAAATTTTGCAGAAAGAAGAAGAGGAGAAAGAGCATGGTATGGCTATGCCGTACAAAAATACAGAAAGAGAGAAAGAGAGAGAGAAGAGCTGAATTGCTTGCTTGATTCTAGTTTGGCTTAGCCCACGCCTTCGTTTTATATGGTATACGGTCGCCGTAATTACGGTGGTATACCGTAATTATGAACCCACCCTGTCTCATATATCACCATCTATAACTCGACAACATATGAAATTATTGTTACGCACGGACTTAGCTCAATAGTTTAATAAACAGTATTTAAGATTCGAGATCAAAGTTTGAATCTTGGTGATGGCTATAGACACCAGCATTAGACCCTGTTTGCTAACTATTGAGTTACTGTGATTTACATCATCTTAAACGTTCTGTATTGTCGGAGTTGAGAATTCAACTTTTTGGAAGAAGAACACATAAAATTATATATATATTTTTTCTAACAAAATCATATATTTTGGTCTCCATTTGATACAGAAACAAAAATTTTATAATTAGAGCAACTCCATTTAAGTTGGTCGGGTTGATTGCTAGCATAATAACTACAAGATTTCAAGTTTAACTTATGCTTGAAGCAGTCTATTGGCCTTATTAGTTCAGACCGTTCAGATATGTGTAACCTAGTCTAGTTTACATCTTTACAATTTACTTCATTGTGATCTTTTGCCGATTAATAAGGGTTTATCAAATGCATACACTTGGATATATAGTTGTACAGATTTTATTACCACTCAACAAAAAAACTTAAAAGAACATATATTGGCTTCGAAATCTAACCACATTAATCAAAATCAATGCTAACAAATCAAAGAATCATCAATAAATCATGACCATATGCATTAAGTTTTATGAGTGACCAAGACACCTCACATAACTATATATAGTACATAAATTATAAACACTTAAATAATACAATAAATATACTAATATTATATGGTAACATGATGATGCATTATTAATCATTTTTTTTTAGGGAATGCTAACCCATCCCAAAATTACAGCATATATAGTGCAACTTTTTAAAAGTTACACTCAATTGTCATCAAAATGAATGGCTGGCAGCAAAATAATTAATTACACAAATTTTTATAAATATTAATTTACTTAATCTCAAATTTTGAGCAAAATAAAAATATGCGAATACGCGATGCACAATGGGGTGATACGGTCGAAATTGGGTATAAAAAAAAAAAAATAGTAACTTTTAACGGACTTTCAGTTTAAGAGTAAAACGTGTGAAGAAATCGTAACTGAAAGGAAAGGATCGGTAAAATGTCGACACGCAGAGGGAGAATGAAGGAAATGGCAACGCGTGGCAAGGTGGAAGTGGGGTCCAGCTTGCAAGACAAAAGCAGAACATGTAAAGGGTGATGATAAGACGAAGATGGATGATGGTTTTGCACTTCTTCTTAGCAGTACAAGTCAGGGAGTGGGGCCCGCTGGCTTAATTAATTTGTTTGAAATACTATACTCCTTTCTTACTCCCTTTTTAATCTTTATTTCCAAACTCCCAACTGACCAAACAGTTCCCACTCCCATTTTGCCTTTTTATGATCTATTACAATTTTTTGTTGCTTCAATTCTTATTTCCCCTCCCATTTTATATTTTTTTTAATAAAAAAATCTTGAGTGACTCACCGTCTCACGGATCCTTATCGTGTGACGGGTCAGGTTAATATGTAAATATAATGCTTATACTGAAAAATAGAATACTAATCAAGAATAAATTGTTTGTTACTTATGAGGGAAAACGTAATACTTTTGATGAAAAATGTAATACTTTTAAATCGAAACGTAAAAGTATTACACTTTCTCTTGGTAGTTAAGCATGTCGACCAACTCCGGAGAGAATTGGTCGGGTTCGAGGGCTTTACCTCCGATCATGGTGTAGTCGGCGTTGTTCCAGTCCGGGGTGCGGATTCCGAGGGGCTTTTTCGGCATTTTCTTTTTGAATTTTGGTGGCGTTTTTCCGGTGGGATTTTCCGGCGATGGGGCGGCGACCCGTTGGGTTTTGGACGGCAAGGGGGCGGCTGGCCTAGGCGGCGTTCGGGGGTGTCTTGCGGTAGCGTACGGCAGTGGGGCAAGGCCGGTCGAGCTGCGGGGGTAGCGTGGCAGCGGGTCATGGCCGGGCGAGATGTCGGTGGTCTCCGGGGCGTCGACGGCGGGTTACGGGGTGGTGGCGTTGACCGGGTGGCGGGCGGCGGCTGTTTGATGGTGGCTGCCGGTGGGGTGAGGGGCTTCGGGTGGCCGACGGCGGTGTGGTGTGGGGAAGAAGAGAGAGAGGGATCGTGGGAGAAGAAGAAGAAGATGAAGAAGAAGGGTTTTTGATTTGGGGGTTTTGGGGTTTTTATGGATTTGTAGGGGTTTAAGAAGGGAGTATTCCCTTGAGGTTTCAAGAAACACTTATAGCTTAGTGGTTAGGAGCTTGGACTTACAAATGGGAAATCTAGAGTTTAATTCCCCTTGATGATATTAATTTTCTTATGGTGTAATCCTTGTCTTTTCCTTCCTTTGTCTTCTAGTGGTGGGAGATTTGGTTGGTTCCCCTTGTTGCTTGATGTGGGTAGTCTAGTTCCTTTCTTTTATGCTAAGATTATTTTGATCTAGCTCTTTATTTATAATAATTCTGAAGTAATTAGTCTAAACAAGCGATTCTACTACGAGGGTGGTTACAAGGGGTTTGTTAGTTTATCCTAAACAGAACTCATCTTCCTGGTTTTCTTCTGGTGGGTTTGCGTGATCTTTGTCTCCTGGGATCGTGTTTTCTTCGTCGGGGTTGCCCTCGTCCTCGAGTTCGGCTTGCGTGCGACTCATGACGAATACTTTTCCAGAGGCACCGTAATTTCCTTGATTGTTCGTGCCCCCGCGTTGGCCCATGGCCATAGGGCGTGAGCTTGAGGGTTGAGTGCAGTGGAAGGCCTTGTGCCCTTCTTTCCCGCAGTTGAAGCATCGTAAGGGGTTCCCCATGCAGTCCTTGCCCCTATGGCTTTAGTGGCATTTTGGGCAAGGGAAGCCCCCCGTATTAGTTTCGTTGTTTCTTGGAGGTGGCCTCTGTCCAGCTAGGTTGCTTGGCCTTGTGTTGGTGTCGATTCTCGTTCTTTTTATAGGGGATGCCCCACCCCCTGTGTTCCTTTTTCGAATATGTTCCTGAACCCCACGCTGTAGTAGCTGGATTCGATAGAGATTGGCGGCACTGGAGTAGGCCTCGTTGAGGGTCCGGGGTCCGCTCACTACTAGAGCTTTTCGGGATTCGAAGTTGAGGCCTGATACAAATCTCTCTATTTTGGTTGTCTCCGTGGGGACTAGTTCTGGCGCGAAGCGTGCCAGTTCGAGGAATCGTTTATGGTATTCCATGACGGTAGCTGCTCCTTGTTTTAGGTGAAGGAACTCTTCGTGCATAGATGTTCTTATGTGGGCTGGGTAGAAGCGTTCTCGCAGTCGTGTTTTCAGGCTTTCCCAGTTGAATCCTGGTTCCTGTCTGTAAGTGGGTCCCTTGTGGATCCACCAGAGGTCTGCCTCGTGTCCGAAGTAGAATGAGGCTACCTCTGCGCGACGTTCTTCTGGGCATTCTACTAACCCTAGAATTTTGTCGAAGGTCCGAATCCATTCCTCAAGGATGGCGGGATCTTCCTCTCCCGAGAAAGTGGGTGGCCTATGGTTCGAAACTTGTCGGGCGACTTCTGAGTTTGTGTTTGGTGGAGGCGGTGGTGGTTGGTTGTTGCGGAGAGCTACGTCACTTAGCGTTTGGGCGACTTGGGTTAGTTGTTGTAGGGTTTGAGGCAGGGGGTCTTGTGTAGCAGGTTCCGGGGTCCTTCATTGTCTTCTAGTTGGTGCCATGATGCTGATCTATAGAGCCAATGTTTATAGCAATGTTTGAGTTAGAGTGTTGTACCCTTACCTTGGTGCGATAAGCGAAGGGGAGTTCTTTAAATTAATGAGGGATGAGGGGGAGGTTACGTGATGATGAGCAGGCTCACAACCTCACCGCGTGTCCTAAGATTCCTAATTCCTGTGTTCTTAAATACCTAAATCCTATCTTTACTGAACTCCTAGTGTTTTAAGCCTAATGTCCTTAGCTCTGGTCTTAAGAGTCTTATCCTAGGGTCAAACTTAGGCTCTGATACCAACTGTAACACCCCGAAATTTTGAAACTTTTAAAACTTATATAATAAAGGTAAATTCTCATTAAATCCCGAAACAGAGTATTACTAAACATAAGGGTGCGGGGGGCTATGCCACATCTGAGCTGGAGAACTCAGATGCACAAGCTAAACTAACTAATTATCCTCAATACATCATCGTGGCACGCAGGCCAAAAAGGAAAACTATCTATCTACTCCAAGCTCTTCTAGCGCGCTCTTGGAGCTAATCATCTGTGCCTGAAAGCCAAATATATCTGTTCAGCGAATGATGCCGGTAACCCACTCTAACGCGTTGAAATACATTATAGATAGATATATATAGATATACGAAAATCATTTTGAAGCAGGAAGATATATACTTAAGAGACTCTAGCTTTAAAACTAGGAATAAACTCAGCAAATAGGGACATGCACATTAATCAATGATAAACAGTTAAGTTGAGTAAACATCATAAGGAATACGTATCTAAGGTCACAGATCACTTTTCAATTCAAACACATCATTATCCAAACATCATTCATATCACATAATTATATATTGATGGCGCCACGGGACCAATCGCATGCCCCGAACATGAGGGTTAATGCGTATAGCATTAACACGGCCCGCAGCACCCTACCTCATACCGTGGCATGAAGGGAGTTGATCGCAACCAACCCATAGAGGACCGCTGACGAACTCAACGTCGGACCACAATCCTATACACCGCTGACGCGCACAGTCGGTGGACCGTGATCCCCTTTACAAGGGGGGACATACGACCCTACACACCGTTGATGCGTACAGTCGGTGGATCGTAGAGGATCAAGCCCTACACACCGCTGAGGGACTCAGTCGGTGGGCGAAGATCCTCGGAGACTACGACCCTACACACCGTTGTCCCATCACTCGGTGGATCGCAGCCAGCCGTAGCCCTACACACCGCCTGATTACTCAGGTCGGTGGACTACAGCCTTCCTCGACTTAT